TCTCGCAGGGCTGATCAACTGGAAAGGCTTGCCTGATACAGACCTGGTCGTGGTGGGTACCGAGAAGGATGGAATCGATCAGATTCAGCTGGCGATCATTCATGAATCTAATCTACTCGTGTGTTCTGGCGCGCTTGGCGCACTGAACTATCAGTACTTTCTGTGATTTTGGACCTGGCACCACTTCCTTGTTCTACAAACAAGCCAGTCAAAATGGATGGAACCTGCTGCCAGGAACTAAGCCTGCTGACAAACTAGGTCAATTGACTTCGTGAACAACTGACTCGGTCCCGGTAATGAAGGGAGAGATCTAGCATGCTGTGTGTAGTATATAGGTGGTGCAGGATCTTCTTGAAACAATAATAAGAACCCTCCACATCAGCCACAAGCCACACACCGTTTTCGCTCCTCCAAAAAGCCCGACCGTGACAACCATGGGCGGGCAAATTCCAAGGGCGACGGAGCATCGAAGCTGAAACCTGCGAGAAACTCCTCGATGCTATCGTCAAGAAGCTTAAAGGAAAGCCCCAGAATAGTGGATTCAGTGTCCCTGGGCCAACGAGTTTCTTGATGCTCTTCCGAAGATGTTCTCCTGAAATTCTTCCCCTGTCAGCGCCTAAAACATACCATCAGCTCACTGACCTTCCTGGTGACTTACCTTGCTGGCTTTAGCCGTTTTCTTTTTCCAGGAGGCTGTGAACTTTGGCGCGGTGCTTTGGAAGGTCAGTGATTTTAATCTGCAGCTCTTCAAGGACCTCGATGCTCGGACATCCTCCGACCGATGTGCAGCAATTAGGAGGTCATTTTTGAGAGGTTTAGACAGAATCTGTGACAGACCTGCCCAATTTGTGTTTCTTGAATCTTCTTTTTGCTTTTTCTGTTTTTATTCTTTTTTTAAGACCTCTGCGTTTGGGAAGGAGGATGCTTGGGGAGCCCACTCGGAATTTCCAAGCAGTGGAGTCCCCGTTCCAGCATCAAAACACAGGCTTTTCATCATCACTAGGAAGTTTCACTACTTGCTACTTGTGCCAGTAAAGGTTGTGCTTGTCATGTCATGTCTATATTCTATTTGTTTTCTGAATCATGATTCCGATCACTACAACCCTCCTGCTGCAACAGCAGCAGAAGCAGCAACCACCAACCAGCGCTGCCACAGTGCTGCCGCGGCTTCCAGGGCTGGAGAGCAAATCCGAGGGGGCGACGGGTTTCTTTTCCGAAGTTCCCTGTTCTCTAAGGAAGACTTCGGTCCGGTGGTTGACTCCAATGGCGATGCCTTGAGCGGCGCGATGAACGCCATGCTGGGTGGTTGTGGGAAGCAGAACAGCTACGCCGAGAAGCAAACATGTCGGAAGTTGCAGATTTCAGAAGACCTGATTCTGAGAGGTGGGGGAAAGATGATGGCTCGCAAAACAGAAAAGCCAATTTGAGAGAGAAAAAGGGTCAGGAAGTTGGAGGAGAAAATTATATGATGTTCATATGTTTGATTGACGGTGGATTCTCTCCTGTAACGGGTGTCATGTTTGGAACCAGACGTGTAGGCTTTTTCAGCGGACCTAACTGTGTCACTGGCGATGCTCGGGCTTAGTGAGTGAGGTGTGAGGGTGAGGGTGAGGCATCAAGTTCTTAAGAGACACTGGGATGCAGAGTGTGGCTGAAGATCTTGGGATATCCCAACGCTAGCGGCGGGGCAGATACTTCTTGTCTAAAAAAAAGATGGATATGGAGTGTGGCCATTCGCAAAGATAGAGGAAAGTGTGGACTATGTATGGTCTCTGCCGAAAAAGGAGGGGACCATCCGTCTTTCGCGACGAAACCCACAACGCTTCCCTGCGCGCGCCTGGTTCAGGTGACACGGTGGAGATTGCCAAGGAGCTTTCGAATAAGAGCCTCTTGACACATGTGAAGTGGACTCCGAAGAGGCTACTTTTGGCGCATCCAGCCACCGTGGGCTTCCCCAAAGGAGAGCACGAGTGGGACGATCCGGACTTCTTGGTTCACTGCCCTGGCATTTGGGGAAGCAAAGCCATCAGGCGCGGGTCCGAGGGTGCCGCGGGTGCCAAATGCAGATCGGGTCCACTTCCCTCGCATACGAAGGGGTCTGAAAACCAGATCCTCAGAAGCGCCGGGTGCGCCAGGCGCTTCTTGGACGCGAAACTGGTGCAGTTCGGTCTGGACCCGCCGCCCGAGGATCCGGGCGCCGCGGGGCGCAGGGACCCCACGGTGATCCCGAACGCGACGCTGACCAGCATCCCTTGGGTGGTGCACAGGCAGGTGGATGGTGGGCGGTAGGGAGATACGTTGAGATGGGTTGCGGGCGCGAGTTGTAATATTAGCTCGGATGGAGCCAGAGCTTAGGAAGAATCAGGAAGTTGTCATATGACAGGCTTAGATGAGTCAAAGCTCGGGAAGCTCAATGCTAAAGAGCCGGACTGGGCTGAACATCCCGCTGTCAACTCTTTGGGTATAGGTACAGCACCTCATGAAGTACAAGATCCTTTTACTCCGTCACCCAATAAGGGCCATGCGAATTCTGGCACAGATCGTTTTCTTCTTGCTAGAACATATTGCGATCGCTTCATACGGTCTGCTTGGATCACCGGGTTTACTTTTCGCTTGGCCACCTATAAATACCACGCAGAGAAATGATGAGAAGTGCATTTTTGCCTGAAAGCACTGATGTAGAGGAGAACAGTCAACCCCCGGGCACTCAAGGGTCGCTAGAATCGTGTGAATGTCGGGGTCTTGCTCCAGTAAACATTGTGGGATAGCAAAGTTGAAGTTGTAGAGCTTGCTTGAAGGATTTTCTTTGTTTTGACATTTTTGCAGGTTTGCCAAGCCTGGGGCTTCTCCACATATGTGTATGCAGTGCCTGATGATCCCGAGTGTGAGCAAGAAGAGTCTGCAGGATGTTTTAAGACTGCAAGTGGAATATGCTCGGCGCCATGGCTACGATCTCTATACGTTTATCGACGAAAGGGATCGAGCATCGACTGGCAGAAGCCCGCTTTGGTACAAAATCAAGTCCACCATATATTTGATTGACAGTGGCACCACTGGCTGTGACTACATCTTTTGGATGGACTCAGATACAGTGATCAACAACATGTCCTTTTCTCTTGAGAGTTTGATTCACTGGAATGGAATGCAGGACACTGATGTGGTGGTCGCCGGTGACACCTTGGCGGTCAATTTGGCACAGAGTCTCTGGAAGTTCTCCCGCTTCAGCCGAGACCTCTTGCAAGATATGTGGCACATTGGCAGTGTTCCGCTGGAGGAGACTGGATCCATCAATGTGATTCTGGGAGGATGTCAGCCGCTGGATAACAAGACTCAAAAGAGAAGCTGCTACAACCACATGGATGAGGGTTGGCGGAACAAAACCTTTGCACAAGAAGTCGTTTTTCCTGGAAACGATCCGCGGATTCGGGAGTTGGTGGCTGGACTTGAACGAAGGGGTCGGTGGTCCTGGTCTTGAAGTGCAAGACCGGCTACCCCACTGGCACTGGTTGAACACAGGGAAGGTCAAAACCATAATATATATATATACATATAAGTGGGAAGGATACCTGGGGAAGTTTCTTGCTACAGAACTGATGGTGTTGATTTTTGTCAGGGTGCATGTTGCAGAGGTTTGTCTACCTCGACCTGCACGTTTTGACGGCCCAGCCAGTGGGTCGAAAAAGAACTCACCAACCCCACAAGGTAGGAATTATCAAAAGGACAGAATACGGATGTTTAGGCTTCTGTCATTGGAATGAACATTGGGATCTCAGAAGAAAAGTCTTCTGGCAAAACCGCGAAACCAACCTATTTTTCACAAGTCTTGCCAGGTCCTCGCTCAACCGGTCCTTGCTCAGGTGGTGAACAAGAGCTTGCTGCCACACATCAAGTGGGTTCCAAAGCGGACCATCAATGCCTATCCCAAGGGCCTCTATGGAGGCGCTTCGACGAAGATTGGGGACCATTCGATGGTGAAATTGTGAAACATAGCAGAAACCAAATAGATTCCTGCACTCTCGTGCATGTGCACATGAATGAACATTTTCAATGTCCTGCATATGGTATATTTTGTGTGTGTGCTTGGCAGTTGATGCAAGTTGGACTTGGACCCAAACAGCATCTTGAGGAAGAACATGTTCAACAGGTTCCTTGCTTGGGTTTTGCTCACAGTTTCGCCGATGAGATTGATTTGACCAGCCATGGAATCACCAGTTTCTGCTGAGGCCAGCATGGAAAGGGGGATGGCGATTTCATCGTGCACTGTCCCAGTAGGGCAGGAAAGATGATACTGAGCGGCTTCATTACGACAGCTCTGCAGAATGCTGGCCTCAAGCCATGAACCACCCAATGACGATTTTCACGCCCAATTTCCACAGATGCCTTGGTTGGACAGTCCCTCTTGGGAGAACTGTAGCCGGAGTGGTGTCGAAAGCCGGATGCCGGTCCAAAGACGGCCGAAGGTCTGGTGTGCGAAGACCCAAAGTGGTCCAAGAGGCACGAGGTCGGCTCAATCCTGCAGGGCTCGAGGCTCTGAGGGCTCAGTCAGGCCGGTTGGATCTCAGTTGGGACCAAAAATTGAAAGCTTTTCAATGGAAGAAAAGCTCTGTTTCAGCAGCATTTTGGAACAGAAAAAGATTGGCCACGCAGCATGAGGGAATGGTTTGGAGTGCAGAGGTTGAATCAGTTGAATCTTGAGGTTTGGATCATGCATGTTCCGGATCATGCATTTGCCGGCTCACAGTGTACACTCTGCTGGGCAAAATAGGCGATTGGTCCGAAGTCTGCAGCCCTGAAGTCTGCGGGCTTCCATTCAAGTTCCGCTTTCATCGCAGGACAAGTGCGGCAAGATGGCTTTGCAAGAAGATGTGAGGTGTCCCTAGCCAGAGACCATCATGTTTCTCCGTGCACCGATCAGTACGACCGCTCGCCCGGAATCGCATCGCTCATCGCTCCTTCACTCGCTGCGGGTCATTCGTTCGCCCGGGGTCAAGACCCATGGAATGGTCCAAAAGCGGTGGCTCTACACGGCGGCTGCCTGCTTGGTGCTTTTTTTTTGGAGGTGGGCGGATGTACAGTGAAAATGGCCAAATCCTCCCTTCCCTCCGCCGAATTCGCGTTGCGTTTGAAAACCCCTGGTGCTTCAGAGGGCTGGTTCTTCCCCAAACCACCACCGGAGCCGGGACCCGACTGGGACCGGAGCCACCGGAGCGGAGCCGCGTCGCGACCGTCCAGCTGCCAGGTCGGCCGACTGGAGCGCGCCCAGTCCGACGCTGCGCCTCCGACTGGAGCGGCCCACCGCGGAGCGGCCGACCGAGCCGACCGAGCTGACCGTTCCGCCGGAGGTGAAGGTGAATGAGGCGCCGGTAGAGAGAGGGTTGCTAGCCCGGAGCCCATGAAGATCTCTCTCCAACTGCGATGGCTTCAAAGGTGAAGAATCTTTCCTAATATGAACGGACGTCGGACACAGTTTTTCTAACCGTGTCCAATTGGACGGTGTTTACAGATAGATGATCAATGAGGATCATGCCTTTAATAACTTCAGATCTGAACAGCTTCGTTGCAATGTCCGTCCTGTGGAGGCCTTCGAGCAGATCCGCCTTGCTCGTGTGCCACCCGCGGAGGAGCTGCTGACGCCGCCCTTCGCCGCGCTTCCCGCGGCGCGCGCGCCGGCGGAGAACAACGGGCGGACGCTGGTGATCGTCGCATTCGAGCGAAGCCCCAGGAGCGACCACCTTGGGGTGGAAAGATAGGGTGAGATGGGGTATGCTTTGGGTTTGGTGTGGTTTTCCTTTCGGATTTGGGAGCCTGAAGTGGTGATTGGCCAGATTGGTGAAGAGATGACCATCGGTGGGCATGGAGAAGTTTGCTGTCTTGCGTCTTGGGTGGATGAACGAGGGACATCAAGAGTAGCATCCATTGGTGGCTTTGAGTATTCGTGTTCGTGAAGTCCCCCATGTGCAAGCAGGGTACTGAAAAACTGCTTGTTGCCTCTGAAAAGAACACGCCACGTTGGCTCATCAACTTGAAACCCCAGAAACCGTCCTGACTTCGGCTGATTCTGTGCTTCCAGCTGATTCGCTTGATACCAGGCGTTGGAGGATTGACTCGCTTTGACAATGATTGACATGGATTGACTCTTCCACCGATGTGATGGGGCTGGGACGTCAGTCTTCTTCGCTCGGACATATCAGCGTCCTGCAGTGGTTTGTTGGGTGATCGGAAGTGAACCAAAAGGCCGATCGGGACAGGGCGGGTTCTGAGCTCGTAGTGAGAGGTTTATTCAAGCTTGCCGCTTCTTGCAGCCAATTTGGCATGGCCGGTAGCCTGTTTGGTTCTCTTCCCGTTTCTTTCCCAAACAAACAGATCCCAAAACGAAGGGCCCAAACGGATGCCCAGTTTCTTCCAAAGGCTCATGGATGACCACGGGGGTTGCGTTCGCCGACATCCACCCGGGACCTCGGTCGTGTCTGGTCGGAGGAGTACGAAGAATGTGGAGTTTTTGTTGCAGCAGGTGGTCGGTGGGCCGAGAGCGCAGGAGCAGCTTGGTTTGGGTTGAGGTGAGGAGCTCCAGGCTCCTCAACCCGGAACATAATGCAACCCACTCCGCCCGATTTCGAGGCAGAAACGGAAAGGAGAGCTCCACAATAAATATGACACTTTGCTGTGGATGCCATGACCTCAATCCTCAATCCGTGGCCTCGGTGTCGCATCAAAAGCCAAGACATGCAATCCTCCTGCCGCGTTTCACCTGGAATTCGCCTGGTTTCCTCAGAACAACGCCATGATCCGAGCGCAGTCGGACAGATGGGACAGATGGGACCCGCGACAAGATCCTCTCTCAGAACGAACAGTTGCGGGGCGACAGTTTCCAAGTGTTCTGAAACCTAATAGCGATGGCCTCCACCCTGGTAGCTTCTTGTTACTAGTAGTAATGCTAGTAATGCCAAGAGCCACTAGTAGCTTCTTGCTACCTTATTTTATCCTTTCTTTTGCGAAGTTCCATGATGGTTTTTCCACCGAATCCGAGGATGGATTTTATCTTTGTGGACACGTCCAGAGAGGGCCCCTTCCGTTGTTTTCCCGACTTGCCGAATGTGCACTACGTGCACCGACCACGCGTGGGATTGGACATCTGCTCCTACAAGACAGGTGGAGCGAGTTCGATCCAGAGGGAGGAGGGGGGGCTTGTGCTGGAGGCACTTGGTGTGCTGGAAAGATCAGAAGCCCCACAAAAGACCATGTGGTCTTCGCACCTGATGTAGAAGGCCAGAACCCTGGTGTCGTTCCGATACGAGGCACCGAGGCACGCTCGATGTGTGCTTTTTGGACGTCATACCGAAGTCATGAAGCGGTCATGAAGTCTGCCGAAATCCGACATCTATTTTGCAGGATTTGATCGAAATCCGAATCGAGCCGGAGTATGGACCCATGATGTCATTTCATTTCACAGGTTGCCTTACATTGGTGCATCTTGCAATAAGGAACCTCGCAATGGCCTTCCCCAAAAACATCAAACAACCAGTTAAAAACCGCTTCGTTCGACCAAGTCGCGCGAAGCAACGAACGATCAACGACTCAATGCAAGAGCAGCGTGCGACCTTGGTACGCCTGCAGAACGCTCCAACTAAGGGGGCCTGGGGCTGGGGGGGAGAACTCCCTTTTCCACATTCGGGCAAGGAAGTAGAGATGGACAAAGAAGGTTCTTTTTTGCACTGAGAAGGGGCACAAGACAGAACCCTTCAACACCCATGCAGACCCTCAGAACTCTCTTGGTTCCTGTTCTTGGAGGTTTGGCCATCGTTCCTCCTGGGCTTTACAAGTATGTGGTGCTCATGAACGGCTCCGTCCGCGGGCCCTTCAGCCACTCAAGCGATTTTCTCAAGCCCTTCAAGGTCGGGCCCCTTGGAGCTGCTTTCAGAAGTTTGAAAGGACCCCCAAACCTAAAACCAATGGACTCCAACCTAGTAGAAGCGATGGCCTCCAACCTAGAAGCAATGGCCTCCAACCGAGAAGCGATGGCCTCCAACCAAATAGTGATTGCCTCCAACCTAGAAGCAATGGCCTCAACCTAGAAGCGGTGGCCTCCAACCTAATAGTGATTGCCTCCAACCTAGAAGCAATGTCCTCCAACCTAGAAGCAATGGCCTCCAATGGCCTCCAACATAGAAGCGATGGCCTCCAACCTAGAAGCGATGGCCTCCAACCTAATAGTGGTTGCCTCCAGCCTAGAAGCAACGGCCTCCAACCCAGAAGCGACGGCCTCCAACCTAATAGCGATGGGCTCCAACCCAATAGCGATGGCCGCCAGAATAGAAGCGATGGCCTTCAACCTCCAACCTAGAAGCAATGGCCTCCAATGGCCTCCAACCTAGAGGCGATGGCCTCCAACCTAATAGTGATTGCCTCCAACCCAATAGTGATGGCCTCCAGCCTAGGAGCAATGGCCTCCAGCCTAGAAGCGATGGCCTCCAACCTAATAGTGATTGCCTCCAACCTAGAAGCAATGGCCTCCAACCTAGAAGCGATGGTCTCCAACCTAATAGCGATGGCCTCCAACCCAATAGCGATGGCCTACAGCCTAGAAGCGATGGCCTCCAACCTAGAAGCAATGGCCTCCAACCTAGAGGCAATGGCCTCCAATGGCCTCCAACCTAGAAGCGATGGCCTCAAACCTAATAGTGATTGCCTCCAACCTAGAAGCAATGGCCTCCAGCCTAGAAGCAATGGCCTCCAACCTAGAAGCGATGGCCTCCAACCTAATAGCGATGGCCTTCAACCCAATAGTGATGGCCTCCAGCCTAGAAGCGATGGCCTCCAACCTAGAAGTGATGACCTCCAACCTAATAGTGATTGGCTCCAACCTAGAAGCAATGGCCTCCAACCTAGAAGCAATGGCCTCCAATGGCCTCCAACCTAGAAGCGAGAAGCAATGGCCTCCAGCCTCGAAGCAATGGCATTCAATGTAGGAGGGATGGCCTCCAATCGATAGCGATGGCCTCCAACCCAATAGCGAGGTCTCCAGCCTAATAGCGGCACCCAGGAGTCAAGAGGAATTTCAACTCAGTCGCGGTTGCCGCAGACGGCATCCAATTTTCAACACTTCTGGGTGACCAAGAGACTACGGGAAACCGGGCTCGGTCAAAGGGTTCAATGCTCCGTTAAGGGTGTGGGCAACGTGCCTTCGGTCACTTGAGAGGTGCGCTCAGTGCTTTCTGGCAGATACTGCGGTGATATGAAGAAAACCTGTCAAGATGAAGATCGCTTCGCCTGAGTTTGGGCTTTACTTCCACCTTGCCACAATCGGTACTGCAAAATCAGTGAGAAAATGACCCTCAACCCGATAGTTACCAAGTAAAGCACTTGCTTTGAACCCACCCTTCTATTTTTGTCCAGTTTTCACCCAGTAACTACTCACGCCTGCAGGATCAGCTGAACGCGCGTACACCGGTGGTGGGCACCTCGGTGAACTGCGGGCCGCGGTTGCATGTGCAATCCATGTTCTTCATGCTGAACTCCGTCGGAACCGACGTTTAGCAGCACAGGGCGCTCCGCCCGGCGCTGGTGGTGTCCACGTTTTTTTCGGCAAAGTGGAAGTTCGAAGGGTGGGTGGAGCTGCTCGGGCTCCCCGTAGAAAGACGTACCCAAGGAAGCAGACAGTGTCTTTTTTTTTTACTTTGAACAACTCACATTTTGGATCTGACTTCTTCTATTTGGGCTGCGCTGCCAAACGTACGGGGTTTGAGACCTCTCCTAATCCATGGCATGGTACCACATTCCCAACATGGCAGATGTACCATCGATGAATCGATGGCGATCCCCACGCAGATAGTGGTGGACACCATTTCCGTCCATTTCCCATACATTCGCAATAGTATCAGTTCAACTGTTGATTTTCAACTTGTTTTGGACTCACACCAGCCACCGCTATTGCAAAAGCGCTTGTTGCTTTTCACGGTTGACCTTAACACCCCTCCCCAAAAAGGTGTTTGGAGCGTCGCCACGTCCCTTTTTTTCCGGTCCGAAAAGGGCGTGTCGTAATGCGCTGATGAATCCCCACTGCATGAGGAGCTGATGAACGCCACTCTGAGCTGCGATATCCCACACCATGGCGCAGCGATGCGCGGACCGCACGGGGAGCTCAACATGTCCAGCAACGCCACTGGGTGGCGAGAAGGGGCGCGGTGGACATTTCGGCGCAACATGCGACATTTCAGTGAAAGGGTATGGGGTTTTGGTCTGGTTTTCGTGTCAAGGGGAGCCAAACCGCGGACGCATGGTTTCCGGGTTGCGACTCCAGGCGACTGAGAGAGAAACCGGCTCTGAGAACCTCCGGAGAACGTAGATCGGCTTTCCGGAATTGGCCATGTTCAGAATCAGAATCCGATCTGACTCCGAAAGCTCCAACGTGAGGACTTCGTCGTCCTTCTGTGCGCCCCGCGACAGACACCGCGACTCTGGCTCGCTGAGAACGACCGACGATTCTCTGCTCCGAGGTGTTGCAGGCAGGCTACAACTTGGGGGCCACCCAGTTGATGTGGCGACACCAGGACGTGACCAACAACACGGTGGTGAGGTGGGGGAGTCCGCCCGGTTCGCTTCGCGACCGACCCAGTAGCTTCGGTAGACCGAGCCAGTAGCCGGGTCTGGAGCCGCTGTGGCACCTGTGTATGGTCAGTTCGTTCAAAGTCGTGCGAGTGCTTATGACATGTGGGCACTAAGACAGATTCCAACACCAAAGAAGGCACCAGCTGTACGCTTCGCAGCTGGTAATGACCATGCCAAGGTGATACAATTGTCATCACTGGTGGTGCCACAGCCCTGTATTTGGCAGAACATGGCCATTTTGAAGTTACGCACTTGCTGCAGGATGCTGCAGGAACATTGTGATACTGCCCACGATGAGTGACGCTGAGAATGTAAGGAAAGATGTTGAGAGCCCATTTGGTATCGCATGGAATTAGTAAATAATGACCAATGTCCTTGGTATCGAATCACTCGTTTGTGGCTTTTCCAATCCATTGTTAAGAGACATCTCAAGCAGTTGAAAGCTACAAAGACAGGGGGGGTTGGACCCTGGACCTGCTTAAGCTGCTTGGGCCAGACAGGCCGCCATTTGTGATGCTTTTCAGTCCACTGAATTGGGTCAGGGTGGCCGTCAGGTGTGGGCCGGTATGGAGCTCTGAATGTTTTAGGAGAAGGGGGGCTCGGAACGTTTGGTCCTATTCTTGCACTCCTGACCTGGAGTGTGAAGGCGAAACAGTTGCCTTGTAGGAAGACCCGGTCGATCCTGATGTTTTGAACACACCGTTCGACGCGTAGTCCACCAATTCATTCACAAGGGCCATTCTCCGAGAACAAACGTGCGCCTGAGCCACTGCAGTCGTGCAGTCATTCGTTTCACGAATGATGCAAGCAAAGGAACTTCCCGACGTGTGGATTTTGGGCCGGAGACCTTGATTTCTCTTCAGGCGGACGTGCTACTACGTGGGCAGTGATCCCTATGCGCCTGGAAGAGATCGTGATCCCATCACCTTGAAGACCAAGGCTGGAGATGAGATGTGGACCATGACCAAAGAAACAACAAAAGAACGTAGGCTGAAGAGTTGGATATTTTTCAGTGTGATGAGAGAGTTTTGAGTTTGTTTTTACATTCACGTTTTGAAACTCTCTGGTGGATTGAAAGTGAATCAAGTGCATGTCGTAGACAAACCCAAGCATGAACCCAACCGCAAATCGTAAAATAGAGAAGTGAGAAACTGCTCAGGCCTTTTTGGCCAACGAACCCAAATCTTCTCACACCAGCTTAGTCATCAGTTGATCCCTCTCAGGGTTAGTAGTGTTTTGTCCTGGTTTGTCTGTAGATCAGCTGCCGTTGCCCCGAGTCTTTTCATTTCTCTTGGGAGAGAGACGTTTCTGAAAAAGCATCGACGCTTTCTGCTGAGACGCACCTGCTGTAGTAAGGCCAGGAGCCCCGAGCCCGTTCATAGCGTTCTTGTTCCGTTCTAACGGCGATGCCAGGAGCCCCGAACGCCCGCCCCGAACCGGCCCGCTACGAACGCGTTCCAGGACATTGATCCGGAAGACGTCATCTTCTTCAAGACCACCCGGCTCGTGGGGCAGGAGCGGCTCCAGAACCTCACCTTGGAGTTTGAGGACCGCTGCGGGGGTACCTAGCCTAGCCTAGGGCCTAGGGCCTAAGCCGCCTAAGCCGCGCGCCAGCGCTGTGGGCGGCGACGCTGGCGATGCTGATTGTGCTGGGAAGATGATGGGCTCGGAGATAAGACTGGGTTTCTGAGAACTCAGGATGAGTTAAAGGACAAGATTTGTGGCAACTTCTGTGGACTTTTCAGAGGTCAGGGTCAAAGTTAAGCCTTGGAACAGCGCCTCTGGTTCACCCATTTGAGAGAAACGGACCCACCTCAACTCCGAACTCTGCAAACTCGCAGGCTTTATCCGATATCCCCTGTGGCAATTTTTTTTAAACACCCATTGAGGTGTTTTGTTGCAGTCCTGCTTGTTGCGAGGAGGAGTGCAGGCAACACCCGCACCGCTGTGGCACGCCTGTAAGCCTTGCCGCTGCCTCGTGCCCTGAAAAACCGACGACCACACCAAGCCGTTGAGCAACTGGAGCACAGAGCTCGACGAAGATGGGCCGGAGGAGGAGCCCCTTTGAGGTGTGGGGGAGTGGAGCAGTTGGAGCAGTTGGAGGCCGAGATCTTGGGTGAACGCCACAGAGGACTCCACTCGGCGCTCGCGAAAAATAGAGCCTGATCGGTTCACGGGGCTCCCCGAGGGATCTGATCGGACGCGAGACCAGCGGCGGATGGAGCCACCAGCGGGACCATGTTCCACTTCCATTTGGACAGGCAGGGTAGTGATGCACCATCGGAACCAGCATCCTACTTGAACCATTCATAGGTAAAAGTCTGTGAGTGCAGGCTACTTCAACGAGCATTCCAGGCGATTCCTTTTGACAAACCGTCAAAGTTGACCTGGACCTGTTTCCACAGCAACTGGGCAATTCTTTCCTGCAATGTTGGCGAACTGAATGTTGGCCCAGGGCTGCGACCCAAGTCTGTTGACATTGTTGATCCTGGGATGACTGGATGACGAGCCAACCCAAACGACTGGTTGCCACCATCTGGGTCGACCCGGGCTCGTACCTGGAAATGCCACCGGCTCGGTGGCTGGTACACCAAAAAATGACTGAGAAGTCAGTGGAAAAAGGACCTCATCCCCAGATACGTCATTGACAGGTTGATGAAACGCATGTCGATTCCAGGCAAGGGCCATTTTCTATGCAGGTATCGACTTCCACTTGCTTCGACTTGGCCCCTCTACACTTCCAGCTGACACTTGTTCCATGAGGGGAAGAAAGGGTATGAATGCCAGTGTGCTCCGCTCCAAGTATGGAACAATACGTGAGGCTTTTAGGTTTGAACTTTCCAACCTAGTGCCCAGCCTTTGACTTGATCTCCTGCTCAAGCTCGTGGCTTGGTGTTACTTTTAGGTCATGGCCATGACCATGAGGACCATTAGCAGAGCCAGGAGCGTTTTCCAAGGCTTCCAAATGTTCAGAGAAGATATGCCGTCTCAGGGTCCATGGAACATCATGGAGGTCTCTTCACTATGAACATTTAGCAAGGCACGAGATGTTCAAGGTTTCTAAAGGCCTCCTTCAGGGTCCAAACGACCTTCCCACATGCCTCACATGTGAAAGCTCCAACAACGACATGTACCCTGCTTGGGGGACCTTTCAGCATTGGTGTGCTCCAACGATATATATGATATGTGTTTCTAATAGCAAACATTGTTACTACTAGTAAGGCACTTGTTACTAGAAGCGAGGCACGTGTTCCGTTCGTAGCGATGCCCTTGTTAGTAGCGAACATCTGCCCGCCTTCAGATTCGATCAGAGTAGCATGGGAGCGGACTATTTTCTTTCTCCCACGAGGGATCCACTCGCAGCCCGCGGCGCAGAAAGACACCGGACCACGCCAGCCCACCGCGGAATGGGGGCGGGCGCAGCGGCCGTTTTTGGCGCTGCAGATGCGATGAGATGAGAATCTGTACGCATGTCACCCGGAAGCGATGGGCCAGGGCCACAGAGCTGGTGGCATCAGGTCACACACGCAACGCAATTGTGACACCAAGCCCGTTGGCTCTTGGTTCCGAAGCACAGGGGGAAAGAACGATGAGTTTTCAGATTTGGAGACTCTTTTGGACGGAACGTTACCAGACTGCATTTAACCCCTGACCGGCATTCTGGACGGTGGGTCATTTGTAACTGGCCGTCCTGACCCCTAGAAGTAGGAAGATCAGAAACGAAACAAGCTCCACAGTCTAAGGCTTGCTTCCGCTTCACTCCCAACATTTTCTTAAATGCCTGATAGCACCACCTCACTTCTACGTTCAGAAGACATTTCGAAGGTGGGTGGTCACCATTTTCACACCTGATGCATGGAAAGTGCCATCTAGGGCCCTTGAGGATGGAGCTGTGTGGACCAATCGCGCTTGAAAAAAATCAGCTGTGGGTTGCACTCCAACCGCGAGATTACCAAGGTGTGTGTCCAGCAGTGCCAAGAAGAAAGCACCGTCCTTGTTTTCTGGTCCCATACCTGCCGGGTGTTGTGAGCAATCTCGCTCTTAAAGAAAGGCTGACCCTAGGTTTGTTGCTCCGGAGCCTTGATTGGCCTCGTGAAGAATGACCAGAAATCGAGGTGTTTTCCAACCCTTCGCGACAGATCCGCTCCGCAAGAGTATCCAAAAGTTCATTGATATTTTTCTCACGAAAGATCCAGCGAAGTCAGGTTCCTTCCAGCAAGTTCTGGAGTAAGTTCGGAGGACTTTGCAGACACTGTCGCGCTGCGGTGTTGCCACGCTGAAACCGATGACACGACTCGTGTGTTGTCACGCTAACATGTTCTCATGCTGACAGGTCGCGCTAAGATGCTGACATGTTGTCACGCTGAGATGCTGAAGTCGGGCCATGCTGCTGCGCCCTGGCAGGCTCCCGCGTGGTTTCCGGAGCAGGCTTGCTGGTTCTTGCTTGTGGCTATGTGGGCGCACGACATGCGCTATGCTCACATATGTCTTGTGTGACCTGTTGCCGTGTTGGTGCGCTCACGTGGCACATTGAAAAGGCCCACGCTTTTGAAGACAGCATTGTCTGACAAAGACACGACACTTGTTGGTGATCATTCCTTACAAGGCGGTGCTTGATGCGAAGCTATTGTGTTTTGCCCCAAACAGCTTTGCTGTGAGGGGTTCTCAGTTCTGGCCCTTTGTCTCCCCTGTCTCCGCTTGTCTCCCATGGCGTGTCTGGATGCTGGGCTGAGATGTGGTGCCAGGAATGGATCCCCAAAAAGAAAACTCCGACTGCCGCTGCTGTTTGGGGTCGATGCTGGTGTAATTTCTTTGATATTTTGAAGAATCCCGGGAACAGGTGTTTCTTGATGAGTTCTTGGCTTTCTAGTCTAGAATCTCTGGCCGAGTGGCCGGTACTCACACCATTCAATCACTGGTGCAGTAGTTGGAATCCTTCGGTTCTTTGTTTTGTTCCTTGGGATCTGCTGAGACCTTGGTCCGAGCAAGGTGGTCTTGTGCATCGGTGCCGGGCTGGTGGGCTTCCAAACGA